GATCTGCAAAACCAATTTCTGAGACCTTATGGCATTAGACGTCATGATCTACAGTGTCAAACACTTTAGACAAGTCTAAGTAAAGTGCAGCACAATGTAGCACAGTACAGTATCTTTCCTCCATACTTTTGTCACAAACATTCACACAGAGCCACGTTACACTCTAATTCTCTCTCCCCTGAGTTAGTTTTTATTAGGGCGGAACTATTTTGGAAAGTATTATAATTATGATTTTTTTTATCTAAATATTACGATTGCAATTTAATATGCAATTATTTTCAATGTCTTCTTCTCATGTATTTTTCAATGAACACAAGCAATAAATCTGTTTCAGTTGAACAAACTCCACTGTTTTCAGCTCCGATGCAACTTTGTTTCTGCATTTTTTTCTATAGCTCCAGGATAGCAACTTGGCTTAAATGAGTGCGCGAGGGCATTCTGTACCGCTTAACCATTGTGTTTACCAAAGCTGTAAACCAGGCTTGGTCACTATATTAATGGGCATAAAGTCTTTAGCTATGAACTCCAATGTTGCTCGAGTTATGTCCACGTGCCATTTCGAATTATGTTTATACGAAGTAATACCTTCGAGCAGTTCGGTCAGTGATCCCTGTCAGCTGAAACTTTGCCTACTTGAAGTTGAAGCACTGATCGTGGGTATTCTAGCCATGCAACTATTGTAAATTGTTTTGCTTTTTTTTTTTTAAGTGTTGATAAAGATTTGTGGTGTTACCCCGAGAAGTAGCAACAGCAAGGCAGGTTCTTCACAAAACATGCTGTTGCGCAGCGTCTTTTTTTTGATAGCCAAAATATTTACAAACAACGGACATGCTTACCCTCTTTGGTAAATGGACTGTACTTATCTATAGCGCCTTTCTATCTTATGGAGATACTCAAAGCGCTTTACACTACAATCTGTGCCCTCATTTACCCATTTATACAGCACTCTGTTAGATCACTACAAAGCTAATTGAAAAAAATCATTATAAAAAGACTAATCAGAGCTTTATCACATTCATACACTGATGGGACACACATCAGAGGCTATGAGGTGTTCAGTGTCTTGCCCAGGGACACTTCAGCATGTGACTGCTGGTGGATTTGAACCCCCAACTCTTGCATTGAAGGACGATTGCTCTAACCACTCAGCCACAGCCGCCCCCAAACTTTCAGATGTGTTTGCTCTGTTTAGTCCGCTTTAATCAAACTCTGGTCCATTTGCCTATAAAGTCCGGTTCATTTGGGGAGGTGTGAATGTGCAATTGAACTCTGATGCGGACCAAAAAAGCAAACTCTGGTCCGCCTAAATCCTTAGGTCATGGTACGGTTGAAGTGAACTAAAATGCGGTTCAAAAGCAGTGTGAATGCAGGCGGACCGGAGACCGCTCCAAAAGCAGGAAGTGGACAATAGCGCAGGGAAATCTGGGTAAATACAACTAAAACAAACACTTTTCTCATACCTCACACGGCGCTGTCTTAGCCGCTTTGTGTGAAAAACAGAAATCCTAAAACCGCTCAAATTTGACGCCACTCCATTTTTATTTCCAGAAGAAGTGTCTTCAGAGATTTTTGTGTCGTTTCCTTCATTAATTCTTTGTGCAGCACCACCACAGGTGGGGGGTTGGGGTTGAGACAGGTCAGCTCAACTGACTCAGTATAATGTGAATGAGAACCGCACCAGCTGAAATGTAAACAAATGTTTTGAATTTTGGTCCCCAATCGAACTGAGTCTATCGGACTGTCTGGTGTGAAAACGACCTAATTGTTCAGCCCTAGTTTCTACCATGTCAGTAAAGCTTATTATAATATATATTTCCCTCATCTGCTGTCCACTGATCACTACCTGGTGGTGAGTTGACTCCGATGGTGGGGGAGGATGCCGGTCAGACCTGGCAGGCCCAAACGTATTGTGAGGGAATGTGCTGGGAATGTCTGGCAGAGTCTCCTGTGAGACGGAGCTTTAACTCCCACCTCCGGGAGAACTTCGAACATGTTCCCGGGGATGTGGGGGACATCGAGTCCGAGTGGGCCATGCTCCGTGCCTATATTGTCGAGGCGGCTTATTGGAGCTGCGGCCGCAAGGTTGTCGGTGCCTGTCGCAGCGGCAACCCTCGAACCCGGTAGTGGACACGGGCGGTGAGGGATGATGTCAGACTGAAGGATGTGTCCTATCGGGCCTTTTTGGCATGCGACTCGGATGGTCGCTGAGGCAAAAACTCGGGCATGGGATGAGTTTGGAGAGGCCATGGAGAATGACTTCCGCACGGCTTCGAGACGATACTGGTCTACCATCCAGCGTCTTGGGGGGGAAAGCGGTACACCACCAACACTGTTTTTAGTGAGGGTGGTGTGCTGCTGACCTCAACTCAGGATGTCGTGGGTCGGTGGGCAAAATACTTTGAAGACCTCCTCAATCCCACCGGCACGTCTTTCACTGAGGAAGCGGAGCCTGGGGACTCTGGGTCGGGCCCTCCAATCTCTGGTGCTGAGGTCACCCAGGTATTAAAAAGCTCCACAGTGGCAGGGCCCCTGGGGTGGATGAGATTTGCCTGGAGTTCCTTAAGGCTCTGGATGTTGTAGGGTTGTGTTGGCTTACATGACTCTGCAATATTGCATGGACATCGGGGGAAGTTCCCCTGGATTGGCAGAGCGGGGTGGTGGTCCCCCAATTCATAAAGGGGGACCGTAGAATGTGTTCCAACTACAGGGGAATCACGCTCTTAAGCCTCCCTGGTAAGGTCTATTTGGGGGTTCTGGAGAGGAGGGTCCGTCGGATAGTCGAACCTCAGATTCAGGAGGAGCAGTGAGGTTTTCGTCCTGGTCGTGGAACACTGGACCAGTTCTACACTCTCAGCAGGGTCCTGGAGGGTGCGTGGGAGTTTGCCCAACTGGTCTACATGTGCTTTGTGGACTTGGAGAAGGCGTTCGACCATGTCCCTCGGGGAACCCTGTGGAGGGTACTCTGGGAGTATGGGGTACCAGGCCCTTTGATACGGGCTGTTAGGTCCCTGTATGACCGGTGTCAGAGCCTGGTCCACATTGCCGGCAGTAAGTCGGGCTTGTTCCCAATGAGAGTTGGACTCCGCCAAGGTTGCCCTTTGTCAACGATTCTGTTCATAACTTTTATGGACAGAATTTCTAGGCGCAGCCAAGGTGTTGAGGGGATCTATTTGGGTGGCCTTAGGATTGCGTCTCTGCTTTTTGCAGATGATGTAGTCCTGTTGGCTTCATCAGATCGTGATCTAAAGCATTTGCTGGAGCGGTTCGCAGCCGAGTGCGACACGGCCGGGATGAAGATCAGTTCCTCCAAATTCGAGGCCATGGTCTTGAGCCGGAAAAGGGTAGAGTGCCCTCTCCGGGTCAGGGAGGAGGTCCTGCCTGCCCCAAGTGGAGGAGTTCAGGTATCTTGGGGTCTTGTTCACGAATGAAGGAAAAATGGAGCGTGAGATCGATAGGCGGATAGGTGGAGCGTCTGTAGTGAAGAGGGCACTGTACAGGTCTGTCCTGGTGAAAAGAGAGCAGAGTCAAAAGGCAAAGCTCTCGGTGTATCTCTGATACAAGCGGCCAAAATTAGTTTTCTCCGCAGGGTGTCTGGGCTCTCCCTTAGAGATACGGTGAGAAGCTCGATCATCCGGGAGGAACTCAGAGTAGAGCCGCTGCTTCTCCACGTCGAGAGGAGCCAGTTGAGTTGGCTCGGGCATCTGGTTAGGATGCCTCCTGGACGCCTCCCTGGTGAGGTGTTCCGGACACGTCCCACCGGGAAGAAACCCAGAGGAAGACCCAGGACACGCTGGAGTGACGATGTTTCTCGGCTGGCCTGGGAACGCCTCGGGATTCCCCCGGAGGAGCTGGCCCAAGTGGCTGGGGAGAGGGAAGTCTGGGCCTCCCTACTTAGGCTGCTACCCCCGCGACCCGACCCCGGATAAGTGGAAGAAAATGGATAGATGGATGGATGGACTTGCACGTGTTGCTGTTGCAATGGCTCGTATGACGGCTGCTTCCTTCATTGCACAGCAAAAGCGGGTAGGACGACTTATTTTCACTAAAAAGATTTTTCCATGGTCGTGTGACTTTAAATGATTTTGTGCATCATCATTGCTGGATTAATTAGGATTTGTGAGTGAGAATGAACTGAACTGTTAAAAATGTATTTATTTTAATTGTGGCGCGTGGTACTTGACTTGAAATAAATTATTTGCCTAGTGGGAGGAGCTAGATTTAAGGTTGCTGCCCGACACTGAGAAGGCAAAGAGAGAATGTGTAAGGTGGTTTCAGAGAAGGTAACAAGGAATGGATATTATTCTATGAAGTTATTTATTCTTTTTCGTAGTAGAAAATACATACTGAGATGATCTGAAAATTTCATTGCCATTGGGTTTGTTAGGGGAACTTTCATTCAGATTCAAGAAAATATTTGCATGGAAAAGAACCCCATGACAATATTTAACTTGTTTTTGTTAGAACATCAGTGTGCAGTGGTAACTTTGAAATGAAACTACTCCTCTTGTATGCTAATGATCGTTGCAACCCCCACACCCCCCAATTTTTTTTTCCCAATAAAGGTGCAAAAAGTAAGATTCCCAGCATTCTGTTAAGTTTGTACAGTATATAAAAATTAAGAGCTTTTGTATCCAGTTAGGATTTGGAAAATCATAAATTATCGCTACAGCCTCAAGAACTTCTGCTTTTCCCAACTAAAGAGTTTTTATTTTACACATTACAAGACAATAAACTTAATAAAATAATTAAATGTCCAGAAAGGTTTAGATGGCTTTTAGCCAATAATCAGATATGATTTTCTGTCAACCCACCAGTCTAGATGAACAAGTAACAATAGTGACATTAACTTAGTTACGCTGGTGGCATGGCTTTACACCTCTTCTGGTTAAATCAATTACTATATTATTCCAATTAGAGTTTATGATAAATGATTTATGGGTAGAAAAACAAATATTGATTGACAATTTGCAAGCTACACTGGAGCTGCACCACACGCTTACCTTTTGAACTCTGCTTGTTTTGGGGACAAGACTGAGTTGAAAACCCCAGGAGTATTGTTCTTCGCCTCATATTCTTTCAGTTTCTGCTTTAACTGTAAAATCTTTATAGATGGGGGAAAAAACAGTCAGAAATGAACCACAGATGATTGTGAGTGTCCAAATGCCTCAATTGTGGTTGCTTCACATTACCTCTTGCTGTTGTCTCTTGCATATGACAGCATATTGACCGATATGGCTGTCGAGACTTACAACATTACTTTTGAGCTGAAAGGTAAGAGTTGAGAAAAAAATAAATAATTTCAGTGTTTTTTGTGTACACTTTCTGAAAAGAACCACTGCTGTTATATCACAGTTAACAACAACATGATAGCTTTAGTACTAACCGAGGATTTGATCTCCTTGGCCCTGTTGGCATATTTAAGTGTGTTGTGGGTGTCATCGTATGATTTGGATGAAGGGCCAACATTTGCAATCATAACTGTTCTGCAGTTGCCCCCTAGGGAGTCCTTCAGTATCCTCGTCAGCTTGCTGTCTCTGTATGGTATATGGGACTTCTTGCTCTGAAACAAATGAGGAAAATTTAAGATAACCGGTAGATACAAAATATATGACTGGTGCTCCTGGAAGTGTGTAGAGAAAAGCAACCCGAACCGCTTGAAAGACTACTGGAGTCCCTTTTAAAAATATATTCAACTGGAAGTTTGGAAGGAACAAATATACAAGCCAAGAATCCACTACACCTGTCAAACAAGACATAAATCAAACTAGAAAAAGGCTACGTTGTTGGCTGCTATGGTAAGCAGAGGAGTGATCACAAATGTGAGCAGGGGCCTTAACGTGCATTTTCCATCTGGACCACAAGAGAAGCCACGTCACAGTACACTGTATGGTGGGGACCCATAAACCTTACAGGGAACAGAATTCAGTACAGAGCATACATTTTTGTTCCTGCAGTAGTCTGTAAATACAGCTCAGCCAGTATTCATGGCATTAGATAAACTATAGCTGCTTAAGTGAGTCACACGGTCATAGACACCAAATGTAGAAATGCAGTTACAGATTAGTTAGAAGGAGTGCAAAAAGAGCTCAACTGGGGATCACAGCTGTGGGATAAAGCTCAACAGCTGGATTCAATAACTTCAGCTGTAGTACTTGTCAGGTCCACAGAGTTTTATAATAACTGGCATTTGGGGAAAAGAACCATTAATTTTAACAAGAGCAGACGTTCAGTGTTATTATATTTAAAGTTTTCAAAAGTAAACAACCATATTTCTGGGTGAAGTGCTGCACCTACATGAATATAACATTCCAAAACCATTTTTTGGATTTTTTTTCTTAATTAATAAAAAAAGTATATGAATTGTTATTTCTGTATGATTTCAGCATATGCTAAAGAGTGATAGTTGGGCCAACTTAAAAATATTTCCATGTTTTCAGTCAAAACAAATACTTTTCGTATTTATTATGCAAACAGTATAATCTGTGTGACTTTGAACATTGCTACAAAAACCTAATCCTAATAGTTCGGCATCAACACAAATACTGGACCTAATTTAACATATCAACATTTTACAACCAATTCAAAGCTCCTTCTTTCCATGGGTTGGAAACACTGGTGTTGAGCCAAGGACAAGCAGCAAAAAGTGGGTGTTTCATCATATGAATCTGCATAAATATGGCCACTGCCCAAGGCAAACAACTTGCAACTAAACTCTCTGTGCCGCATAACATGAAGATGGCACACTGAACAGCCCCAACAAAAGTTAGCAGGCATTCTTCTAGCTCAAATGAAGTGCATACCAGCCAAGGCACAAGTGGTGACATTCTTTCCAGTAAACATTGACCACAACATAAATTCCTCTGCACCAGTAAGCATTAGGACAGGGTGGGAAACTTGTTCTTGTTTTGAACTGAACAGAGCTATGACTGCAATCAATGCTTAAAAATGGTAGGCAGGGTAAACTATCAACTTGACAATGCCCATGAAAGAACAGTCTCGAACCACAGAATACCATACCATACTATACCAATTTATTTATAGAGCACTTAAAACAGCAACAAGGCCAACCAAAGTGCTGTACAGACAGAACAACAGGTAACACACAAAGCAAAATACAAAATGAGGTAAATCAGAATATAGACATAAAAAAGATGCAGATAATGACGACAAACCAGTGGAGCATACAGGATCAAAACACAGATCATCTGGTGTTGAAAGATACTGAATAGTAGTGGGTTTTTAAACGGGACTTGAAAACCGAGAGGGAGGGGGCCTGTCTGACAAGCAGAGGTAACTCGTTCCAAAGTCTTGGTCCTGCTACAGAGAAGGCCCTGTCACCTCTGCGCTTAAGAAGAGTTCCTGGAAATGTGAGGAGCACCTGGTCCGCTGACCTCAGGGAACGTGGTGGGACATACGGTTGTAGCAGATCAGAGAGATGGGGGGGGGGGGGGGGGGGGGGG